TATATATATATAAGTAAAATATGAATTTTTCTATATAGATATCAAAATGTTATAAATATAAAAATCAGATTTTAGGTGTTGGATATTATGCATGGGGAAGATGCAACAAAAAAAGTACAACTAAGAAATGCTCACCAGCATAAGATTTTGAGGCTCATTTATTTAGTCGGACGTAGCAGATAGAATCGAAGCCTCGAAGCTGCCAACTAGATACAACCTTCTGAGCCAAAGTCCACAAGATTAAAGGTGTTAAGATGGCCAGAGCCCTAACTCATTGAACCAAGACAGGATAAAGGCATGCGGCCAACTATCTTAAAAAGCCCTTCTAAGCCGTCAACCAAGCTTCTAATAGACTAGACACAAGAAAAGACCCTTCTCATCAGTATCAAAACTCATCCCACGGACACCCAAATAATCATCATGAAGAATTGAGAGGCAACCATATCACAAGAAATCTAAACTAAATCGAGGCCCACTAAGCTCGACCAACCAAGTCAGAAGGTAGCCAAGTCATAGAACCATACAGTTAAAATATCTAAATTAACCTATAATGCCCCCCATTAAAATAGGGGCAAATATGTAACCTCATATACTATATCTCCTCCTCGATAAACAAGTGAACATAGTAGGAGATCATTCAATGCATTTCTTTCTTCATCTCATTCTTCCTCACATATCTTGCACTCTAATCCTTGAGGTGAGATTCACATACAATTTTGAATGCAACGAATATGTAAATACATAAGAACTATGTGGTGCGTAAATTTTCAAAATTATATTATCTTGGAGGATAGAAATAAATTCGTTTGAAATAAAAAACCTCCTAATTTCGAGCTGTTATTGCTTGCGGACGGCGTGCGAAGTCCAATAAAATTTTTTTTAAAAAATAAAAAATTGGACCCACTGATATACACTTTTTGATAAATAATGAGTTTTTATTGGCCCACCGCATGCTTCTCTGCGTGCGGTGGGCGGATGCAATAATTTCACCCTAATTTCATCTCATTTTGTGATTCAATTTCCTATACTTTAATGTGTAATATTTAAGTTTGCAATACCCCCATATACAGAGATCGGATAAAACAAAAATAATAAATAAAAATTCTCCATAAATGCCTGTTCTCACTATTCGCATTTCTTTATTCGCAAAACTATTCAATATATATATATATATATATATATATATA